AGGCACTTCTAATAGCGGTTAAACCTTAACCGCTATCTAACATACACTTTAGATAGCGGTTAAAGTGGAACCGCTATTATATCCTCGATCATAATCATGTTTGAATCGGATGTCGCTCGAGCGATAATAGTATCGCTCAAGCGAAATACAACCCGAGAATGCCAATTTTGTGCAGGTGGCGTCGCTCGAGCGATGTTATGTTCGCTTGAGCGAATATTGTCCTGTGTAAATGTAACATGGGTGCCTCATGTTTGAATCGGATCTCGCTCGAGCGAGAGTAGTGTCGCTCAAGCGAAATACATCCCGAGAATGCCAATTTTGTGGAGGTGGCGTCGCTCGAGCGATGTTATGTTCGCTTGAGCGAATGTTGACCTGCGTAAATGTAACATGGGTGCCTCATGTTTGAATCGGATCTCGCTCGAGCGAGAGTAGTGTCGCTCAAGCGAAATACAACCTGAGAATGCCAATTTTGTGCAGGTGTTGTCGCTCGAGCGATGTTATTTTCGCTTGAGCGATATTGAAAAATCAGATATAATCATGGATTATTTTCTCATTAGCGACCGATTTTAATTCGGTCGCTATTTCAATTTGTAATTCGGTCGCTAAATCAGTCGCTAAATGATTTTTTTATTTATGTATGAAATAGCCACTGATTTAGCGACCGAACATTTGCGACGCACAAACATTGGTCGCTATTCGGTCGCTAATTGCGACCGAAATAAAGTGGTCGCTAAATCGGTCGCTAATTGCGACAGAATTAAAGTGGTCGCTAAATCGGTCTCTAAATGCGACTAAAATTAAATCGCTCGCTAAATCGGTCGCTAATTGCGACCGAAAAAATTCGGTCGCTAATTTCGGTGGCTAATTCTGTTTTTTCTTGTAGTGAATTCTGTAATTTTTTTTGTTGGAAATTTGTTTGATATAAATAATCACTACACTCTTTCAAGCTCGTTCATTTTTTCTAATTGTTTTGACTAATATTTTTACATTTTTTAGAATTTAGTTTTCGTAGTTCCACCAGTAAGAAATTTTAGCAAGTTTTTCTGTTGGGGAATTTTTTTAATAAAAATTTCAATTGTAGTCTTTCAATCTCGTTTTTTTTCTAGTAGTTTTGAGTAATATTCTTACATTTTAGGAATTTAGTTTTCATAGTTACACCGAGTCAGAAATTTTTACAATTTTTTTTGTTGGGAATTTTTTTAATAAAAAAAATCACTAGACCCTTTCGAGTTCATTTTTCTTATTTTTTTATTTGTTTTGACCAATAATTTTAAATTTTAGGAATTTAGTTTTAGTAGTTGCACCAGTGAGAAATTTCAATAAGTTTTTCGGTTGGGAATATTTTTTTGAAAAATTTTCAGTGCACTCTTTCCAGTCTCGTTTTTTAAATATTTATTGTAGTTTTTAATAATATTCTTATAATTTAGGAATTTAATTTTTATAGTTACACCAGTAAGAAATTTTCAATTTTTTGTGTTGGAAAATTTATTTAATTAAAATTCCTCTACACTTATTAAAGCTCTTGATTCATTTTTCTAGTAGTTTTGAGTAAAATTCTTACATTTTAGAAATTTAGTTTTTGTAGTTACACTAGTCAGAAAATTCTGCAATTTTTCATGTTGGGGATTTCTCTAATAAAAATATTCACTACACACTATAAAGTTGTTTTTTTTTTCTAATTATTTTGAGTAATAATTTCAAATTTTTTGGAATTTATTTTTCGTAGTTACACCAATAAAAAAATTCTACAAGTTTTGTTGGGGTATTTTTTTAATAAAAATTTCCTATGCAGTCTTTGAAGCTCTTTTTTTATTTGTATAGACGTTTGGAGTAATATTATTACCTTACACCAATCAAAAATTTCAATATTTTTTTTGTTGGGAATTTTTTTACAAAATAAATTCACTGTACTCTTTCAAGTTCATTTTTCTACTTGTTTTGAGAATTAATTTTACATTTTAAGAATTTAGTTTTCGTAGTTACACCAGTAAAAAATCTGGGCGAATTTTTTTAATAAAATTTTCAGTGCAGTGTTCCGAGTTCTTTTTAATTTTTCTAGAAGTTTGGAGTAATATTCGTACCTTACACAAATCAGAAATTTCAATAATTTTTTTAGGAAATATTCAAAAAGAAAATTCACTGCACTCTTTCAAGTTCATTTTTATTTTAATTTTCTTTTTGTTTTGACTAATAATTTTTTATTTTAGGAATTTAGTTTTCATAGTTACACCAGTAAGAAATTTCTACAAGTTTTTTGTTAGGAAATACTTTTATTAAAAATTTCTAGTGCACTATTTCAAACTCGTTTTTTTTTTAATTTTTCTAGTAGTTTTTAGTAATATTCTTACAATTTAGGAGTTTGGTTTTTGTATTTACACCAGTAGGAATCTTTTACAATTTTGTGTTGGGGAATTTATTTAATTAAAAATTTTCTACACTTATTAAAAAGCTCTTGATTCATTTTTCTAGTAGAAAAATATTCACTATACCCTTTCAAGCTCGTTTATTTTTCTAATTGTTTTGACTAATATTTTTACATTTTTCGGAATTTAGTTTTCGTAGTTCCACCAGTAAGAAATTTTAGCAAGTTTTTCTCTTGGCGAATTTTTTAAATAAAATTTCAACTGTAGTCTTTCAATCTCGTTTTTTTTTCTAGTAGTTTTGGGTAATATTCTTACATTTTAGGAATTTAGTTTTTGTAGTTACACCAGTCAGAAATTTTTACAATTTTTTTGTTGGGAATTTTTTTAATAAAATATGTCACTACACTCTTTCAAGTTCATTTTTTTTATTTTTTTATTTGTTTTGACCAATAGTTTTAAATTTTAGGAATTTAGTTTTCGTAGTTGCACCAGTCAGAAATTTTTACAAGTTTTTCGGTTGGGAATATTTTTATGAAAAATTTTCAGTACACTCTTTCCAGCACATTTTTTAAATTTTTCTGGTAGTTTTTACTAATATTCTTATAATTTAGAAATTTAGTTTTTATATTTACACCAGTTAGAAATTTTTCAATTTTTTTGTGTTGGAAAATTTATTTAATTAAAATTCCTCTACACTTATTAAAGCTCTTGATTCATTTTTCTAGTAGTTTTGCGTAAAATTCTTACATTTTAGAAATTTAGCTTTCGTAGTCACACTAGTCAGAAAATTCTGCAATTTTTCATGTTAGGGATTGCTCTGATAAAAATATTCACTACACACTTTCAAGCTATTTTTTTTCTAATTGTTTTGAGTAATAATTTTAAATTTTTTGGAATTTATTTTTCGTAATTACACCAAGTAAAAATTTTCTACAAGTTTTTTTGGGGTATTTTTTTAATAAAAATTTCATGTGCAGTCTTCCAAGCTCTTTTTTTTATAGACGTTTGGAGCAATATTCTTACTAATCAGAAATTTCAATATTTTTTTTGTTGGGATTTTTTCTACAAAATAAATTCACCGCACTCTTTCAAGTTCATTTTTCTACTTGTTTTGACAATTAATTTTACATTTTAGGAATTTAGTTTCCGTAGTTACACCAGTAAAAAATTTGGGCCAATTTTTTTAATAAAATTTCTAGTGCAGTGTTCCAGGTTCTTTTTTATTTTTCTAGAAGTTTGGAGTAATATTCATACCTTACACAAATCAGAAATTTCAATAATTTTTTTTGTTAGGAAATATTCAAAAAGAAAATTCACTGCACTCTTTCAAGTTCATTTTTATTTTAATTTTCTTTTTGTTTTGACTAATAATTTTTTATTTTGGGAATTTCGTTTTCATAGTTACACTAGTAAGAAACTTCTACAACTTTTTTTGTTAGGAAATACTTTTATTAAAAATTTCTAGTACACTATTTCAAACTCATTTTTATTTTTAATTTTTCTAGTAGTTTTTAGTAATATTCTTAAAATTTAGGAGTTTGGTTTTTGTATTTACACCAGTAAGAATCTTTTACAATTTTGTGTTGGGGAATTTATTTAATTAAAAATTCCTCTACACTTATTAAAAAGCTCTTGATTCATTTTTCTAGTAGTTTTGAGTAATATTTTTACATTTTAGAAATTTAGTTTTCATAGTTACACTAGTCGGAAATTCTACAATTTTTCTTGTTGTGAATTTCTTTAATAAAAATATTCACTACACCCTTTCAAGCTCGTTTATTTTTTCTAATTGTTTTGACTAATATTTTTACATTTTTCGGAATTTAGTTTTCGTAGTTCCACCAAGTAAGAAATTTAAGTAAGTTTTTCTCTTGCGAAATTTTTT